TTACAGAGCTCCTCTCATCCAAAATTGGTAGGGGTCCATACGATGTGATACACAGACACGCTTCACGACTCCTGTTCCCCCACTAACATTTGGATCAGACTGATTTTTTTACATATTTTATAGAAATGCTAAGTCCCGGAACCATTTTGTCGGGATTCTTAACCGTTGAATATCGTCATGGATAGTCGATCTAATGGTTACAATCTTTGACGGACTGGTTCCGTAACAAAACCGTAAAATCTCCCCATATTTTATTTATATCTATCTGTATAAAATAACGGACAATATCAATATAAATTAATTTACCTTTTTTTTATTTGGTTAATTTTAATAATTAACATGCGCTAACTACTCATTTTATTTACAAAAAGTTGGGAAATATTAAGGTCTCGTTACGGAATCATTTAGTCGTGATTTGTAAACGTTAGATCCTCATAAAACCGTCAGAGAGAATTGATCTAACGGTTACAAAGCCCGACAGAATAGTTCCGTAACAGTAATGCAGCATCTTCCCAAAAAATTTGAACAATCAAACATGGTGGACAAATTTTATTTCAGTGTCTATAATTATTCAAAATTAAGAAATCACGGTTTATCATTAAATAAATACACGTCATGATCAGAGCCAGGAACCTTACCCCGTCCCCTCCCCCAGCCTATAAATACCCCTCTTGAGATCAAAGCTTTTATGTGCAGCACAAAGCAAAATTCCATTTTTATTACATAAAAACAAACACACACAAACAAGTCTCCTTAATTACTACTTCCTTAAAAAAATGGCGACTTTTCCGGTGATCAACATGGCGAAACTCGACGGCGAAGGAAGGCCTGCAACAATGGCGCAAATCGAAGATGCCTGTCAAAACTGGGGTTTCTTTGAGGTACGTCTACTCTTTCAATAATTGAGAGTAATATTTTTCTTTTTTTTTTGGTATAATGAATTTTCGGGAAATATTACAGTCTCGTTACGGAACCATTTCGTCGGGATTTGTATGTAACCGTCGTGGATAGTTAGAATGGTTTCGTAACGGAATTGTAGAATCTAACAGAGTGTCATGGGTTTATTACAATTATTACAGGTGGTGAATCATGGGATTTCGGCAGAGTTTATGGACAGAGTTGAGAGGCTAACAAAAGAGCACTACAAAAAATGTATGGAGCAGAGGTTTAAGGAAATGGTGGCGGCTAAAGGACTTGAGGCCGTACAGTCCGAAATCAATGATTTGGACTGGGAAAGTACTTTCTTCCTTCGCCATCTCCCTTCTTCTAACATCTCTGAAATCCCTGATCTTCATCCTGAATACAGGTTTTTTTTTT